GTGGTTAGGGGCAATCAGGCAAGCAGGCAGGTGAGCGGTTAGGAGCCAGGAGTCCCAGATTGGAGAGGGTGCAGGCCAGGCTGAGGGACACCCCCCCACACACACGATTTTCATGCAACGGGCCACTAGTGTATTATAAACAAAAGAAACCAAATAATTGTGAGTAAACGTGATTGGCTCTTAAAAGAGAATTTGTTTAGAGACATTTCCAGAGTTTTTTCTTATAGGGTTTATCATACGGACAAATGTAAAAGAAAAATCAAACCAATACCAAAAGTAAGTTTTGCCTAACTTCCTACTGTCTGTTCAGATCCCAGCTAGCTTCTTCATTGCTTGAAGGCTAATCTGACTCTCTACTACTACCTTTAACCAGGCACTTCCACATCTGTAAAACTAAGGGGCTGAACTTTAATGATCTTGCTCTGAGTCTAGGACAGTGATGGCGAACCGTTTGAGCTTGGCGTGTCAGCATTTTGAAAAACCCTAACTTAACTCTGGTGCCGTGTCACATATAGAAATTTTTTGATATTTGCAACCATAGTAAAACAAAGACTTATATTTCTGATATTTATTTTATATATTTAAATGCCATTTAACAAAGAAAAATCAACCCAAAAAATGAGTTCGCGTGTCACCTCTGACACGCGTGTCATAGGTTCGCCATCACTGGTCTAGGACCTTAAAATTTTACAGCTGAAGCCCATGGTAGAAAATGCTGCAGCACTCCACAGAATCCTCCCCTCCCCTAGGGCACTGCTTCTCAAAAGAATGTGCATGCAAATCGCCAGGAGATCTGACTGAAATGCAGATTTGGTTTCAGTAGATCTGGAGCAGGCATTTCTAACTAGCTCCCAAGTGATTAAAATCATGCTGGTTTGTTGACCACACTTGAGCCAACAAGGCTCTAGAATTGCCTCAACTCCAAGTACCTTTACATATTTTTAGCATGGCATTTATATCACTTTATTGTGATTATTTCTTGATCCATTTGTTTCTCCATTTGCCATTGAACTCCCTCGGGGCATCACTTACTGTACCTCTAACACAGGGGTGAGGAACGTTTGGCCTGTGGCCCATAAAAGGCCTTCAAAATAATTTGGTCTGTCCCTGCCAAGGCATTGGGGGTGAGTTAATTAAATGTTTAACCAAATATAGCAGGTTAATTGTTAAGTTGATAATTTCATATGGCCCTTGAATGATGTTATAAATATCCAAATGGCCCTTGGCAGAAAAAAGGTCCCCCACCCCTGCTCTAGCACCTAAGTATGATGCAATTTCAACCAATTCCCAGAGACTGAATTTCATAAAGTAGTGTAGCACATATGCTCTAGTCAAACTCCTTGTCTTTAAATCCTTGGCCCAAATTGTACTTTCTTATCTCTGTACTTTTATGCAAGTTTCCTAGGTGTCTGTCTCAATTTCTTAATCTTTCAAAGATGATAGCAACAATAATAGCTACCTCACAGGGCTTTTGGTAGGACTGAATTATATAATACAAGTAAAATGCTTAGTTCAGTTCCTGGCACTTGATAAGCTCTTAATAATGTTAGTTATTATTATTGTCATTAAAGCTTGGAGCACAGAACAGAGGAGACTGGGGAAACATGACAAATAAATATAACGTGATACCCTGGATTGATTCCTAGAACAGAAAGAGGACATTAATATCAAAACTGGTGAAATGCAAATAAAAGCTAGACTTCAGTTAATAGTAATATACCAATGTCAGTTTTTCAGTTGTGACAATATACCGGGTAATATAAGATGTTACCAATGGTGGAAACTAAGTGAGGTGTATAAAGTCATTCTCTGTAGTATCTTTGCAACTTTTCTGTAAATCTAAAACTTCTAAATAAAAATTTATTTAACAAATAATTTGCATTTCCTTCAGACAATGTCACAATACATGTATGTAATCAATAGTTAAAATAATTGGATAATTTAAATTATATATAATAAACAGAACTAAAGGTTTTAACTTGACCAAAAAAATGGAGCTTTGAAGGAATTCACATTTCATTTACTACTTTATTCCTAAATAAAGAAAGCAATCCAGCAAATAAAGAAATGAAGTTCAAGTTTGAATTCATTTACTTCATTCAACAGATTTATTGAGTACATACTGTGCTAGCCACTTAAATTACAGCAAAGAACACAAAATAAACATTGTCCCTGCACTCATGGGCTCTATAGGCTAGGACTGAGGTCAGCCAACTTTACCTGTAAAGGGTCAGAAAATAAATATTTTAGGATTTGCAAGCCATTCTGTTTTTATCACAAACTCAACTCTGCCCTTAGAAAGCAGCCAGACAATACCTAGATGAATGGGTGTGGCAGTGTGCCAATAAAACTTCATTAATGGACATTGGAACTTCAATTTTATATAACTGTCATTCATTAATGGACATTGGAACTTCGATTTTATATAACTGTCATGGATCATAAAATGATGATTCTTTTGCTTTTCCACCCCAACAAATTAAAAAAATGTAAAAACATTATTAGCTCACTACAAAAACAGGAGGGAAGCTGCATTTGGCCTATAAGCCAGAGTTTGCTGACCCTTGGTCTAGAAGGGAAGACATCAAAATAGATCAACTGTCTCAAGATTGAACAGCATTCTCTGCTGGATTCCAAGTTTCTTCTTGATGATACCATTTTATCTGTATGATAAAGTACTTCAACTCTTTTTTCATTTAAACTTTCTATGTCACTCTCTGTGACATGTCTCACCCAAGGTCACAGATTTAGCAGCAAAGCAGGTCTTTAAGAACCTGCCGTCCTGACTCCCGGTCCAGTGCTCTTTCTCCTGTACTAATCCCTACCTGAGGCAAAGGGTCACTTAACTTCTCAGTCACTGCCTGAACTACCCAAGATGCTGTCCACCTAGCTGTCATAGGACCATGAGCATCCGAGGTCCTCCATCTGACACTTTGCATGATCAGCCCAGCGCTGGATCTGACATCACCTGTCCTGGATTCTCAGACTCCCTCTTTGCATGCCATGCAGTGCACCTGTCAAGCTCTGAGCCCTCTCCCAGACACCCACTTCGAACGTTGCTGCAATCTTCCACTGGGGAGCCCCGCACCGTTTCTTGTAATCACCCCAAACTCTAAGGTCTCTAATGACCCTTCCTGGGACATTCGGTCTGACACTCCCTCTGTGGTGCGCCCGTACACCGCCCACCGAAGTCCCGCACCGGAACGGTCTGTGTCCCGCAGGCACTTACGCTGAGCAGCAGAAAAGGCCGCGTGTGCTAGGGCAAAGAGGCCAATGCCTACCAGCCCCTTCCACAGTGACAGCGCCATTATTCCGGATGAGCAGCAGCCCGAGGAAAGCAGCGAGGGGCGGCAAAGCAGTTCCCTCTCCCAACGGTGGTTGTCCACGCAGCGCAGAAAAATGACGTCACTGGACCACTGGGCGCGAAGTGTCTCACAGAGGTGGGAAAACTAAAGAGCCTTCAGAAAGCGGAAACAGAAATGCCGGGAAGGAGGGGAAAGCACGGGGGTGGGGGCGGGGAGGGGGAGGTCCGCCAGTGAGACGGCCTGCATAGCACCGCCTCTCTGAGAGGGAGGAGCGGCTGGGAGGAAGGGGGCGTAAAAGGAGAGGCAAAAGTGGACCAATGGGAAAGCTGAGAGGAAGCTGAGCGCTGACAAGGGGCAAGGGGCGGGGCCTATGGAGAGGCGGCTTGGGAGCTATAGAGAGGCCCGGGTGCGGCAGAGGGGCGGGGACCTGGAGGCTGTGGTTAAAGCCTTTCAGTGCTGGGTTTCTATCCCTGGCAGGGGATTTTCAGTTTGTTTGCTTGTTTTGTTTGTTGCTTTTCCCCTCAAGCTGTGTCCTTTGTGTGTGTGTTGGCTTTTCTTATGCTTCAGCCTTTTGCGGACTGGCACTATGGGAGGAGGCAAGAGTGTGAAAGCGAGGAGGCGGGTGGGGTGCAAAGGAAAACATCCAGGGTATTCGGAGCCCAAGACACAAGGCACCCTGGGGCAAAGTTAGTCCCCCTTTTCCTTACCATCAAAAGGTCTTTAAGAACGATTCCCGCGCAAATTGGTAGCACAGCTGGAGTGTTTTGTCATGAAGAGAACGAGTTTACATTAGGGATAAGTGAAAGGGGAGGAATATATGGATGCTAATAAGGCAGACCCATCTTGTCTCTATCTCCCTGTGTCTGTCTCTCTCTCTCTCTATCAAAATAAAATGCACTCTCCTTTCGCGATTTAATCTTTGTCTTTATTCCACAAAATATAGATATTCAATAGTGAGGTTCTCCCCTTGAGCTCTTTTCACTCTGCTCTTCTTTGGCGAGCTCTCCTATTCATTCCCTCTGCTTCAGCTTTCAGACATATTACTGCGATTTCAAATTGACGTCTCTATCTCAAATGTATCCCCCCAGCTCCAGACCTGCATTTCCGTCTACCTGTTGGTCATTTAACTCTTTCCTCTGGCACTTTGAACTTAATATGGCCAAAACTGAATTCATCTTTTTTGCCAAACTGCACCAGTATCCCCTGATTGGCACAGGGTTGTAAACTGCATATCACAAGGTAAATGCATAGTGTGGTCAACATTCATTCTCCTCAACCCCATTTAGCTTGAAAATGCCTATCCTGACCACCTCTTTTAAATTTGCAATCTTCCCATTCCCAATCTCCTCACATATTCTATGATTTACCTATCTATAATAATAAAAGCATAATATGCTAATTAGACCAGACAGCCGGACAACCTTCTGGACCAAGCCCAGGCTGTGAGGGCCAAGCCCCTTGAACAAATTTCGTGCATTGGGCCTCTAGTTTATTATATTTGTTGTGTTATTATTGTTTACTATATACCTCTGGAATGTAAGTTCCAAGAGGACAAAGATTTCTGTCTGTATCTAGAACATTGCCTGTCAAGTTGTAAGCATTCAAATAAAAGTTTGCTAACTGAATAAATTATAGGAAAGAATGAGGGAGGGATACACCCTTATTTGAAAGTATCTCTGTAGAGAGTCCTTCCATTACTTTGAATTGGGTTAAATAAAAAATCTCTGTGAACTTATACACTCTCTTAAATTTTGATAATCATTTGATTATTAATTAACATTTTCTGATATACTTGAGGTTTTTCAAGATGTAAAAACTAAAAAATAAAAGAAGGTCTCCAAGAATTATCAGATTTCCTTAACTTGACCTACATATATTTTTTGTTCTGGGTCTCATTGTCCAAGCCTTTAATTATGGTCCTTATTTTTCTCTGGGAACTCTCCAATTTCTTCACCTCTAAACCAAGATTTGACACAGTACTTGATCAATATCAAGTACAGTATAATGTATTCCTTACAAATGCAGTTCTGTTTATAAAACTCACAATCAGGGAGAACCAGGAAGTAATCTGTCTGTACAAGACAGGGAAGTAATTCCTTCTCCACCCAGGAAGGTTACAAGATAGTAAAAATAGTTAACAAAAAAAATTTCTTAAAATTTTGTGTTGGCTTTGATGATGGTCAAATTGAAGTTAGCCTTCTCAGATACCCTATTAAATTGCCTTTTCTAATATTAATTTATCTGAAGCAGAAAATGATTTATAAGTTTTCTTAAAGGAGTTGAGATCTTGTTTCTTTCTTTTAAAAGGATGAGATTAATTTTTTTTTAAAAAAGAAAGAGCCAGTAAGGGATCTGATTTTTGTATAAGCCACTAATATATTATCCTAGTCTTCAGGGAAGTGACATGTGTCCAGGCATTAAATTTTATTTTCTCCATTATCTTCTTAAAATGCATTCCCTACTCTCTTCCTTTGAATCTCTTACCCATGTACTGAGAATAAAAGAAACTAGGCTAGTTTCACATTTTCCAGAAATAAGTGGTTAACTCATATTCATGGAGTGAGATTTTAATTGTCTTATCTGTGGATTCCAACCTGAAGGGAAGCCAAGGTATTCATTGTTACAGTTACCACAGACCGTATCATTCAAATAAGTACTTTCGATCCACTCATACATTGGTTGAAGTTAATCCCAAAGGTGCAAGGTACATCTAGTGGCAGCACTTTTTACATGGGTTCTTAGAACAAGAGTCAAACCTCATGAGAAAGAGCATTTAAATTCCTAGGTGATCCCAGAAGTGCCTTTAGTTTTACCAAAGAAACAGACATTTTCCATATGCACAGTGCATAAATGGTGTGGATGTTATTTAAGGTGGGGATAACCATCTTTAAAGCGTTTCCTACCGAGATTTATGAAGACTCATCTCCTTTCCCTAGGATAGTTTGTTGAATAGAGAAACCACTGCAATTCTAGAATTGTCGAGTTAATTAACTTTGTTGCATGCCAACTAACTAGACGAGTAACTTCATATACCACTCATCCAAGTCTCCATTTCCCACACATATTCTCCCTCCATTTAGCACACTCTGTCCTTTCCTAAGTGGTTAAAAACTCCACTTTCCTAGAATACATTCCTGACTATGATCAGTATCTATAAAAGTTTCATATCTATTATGGGTACTAAACATTTTTTCAAGCGATTGCTATTTATTACAACTTCCCTGGGTAACAAATTCTAGAATTTGACTACCTTCTGTATAAACTAGTGTTTTCGATATTTATGTTGAAATTGCATCCAGTTAATATGTTTTCTTTACAAAAGTGATGTGTGCTCAGTGTAAAAAATTCAAATGACAAAACAATGTATTCCTCTTAAATCATTAAGTGGTGCCTTGGTATTTTAAGTTTTGAATCTTAGTAAACAAAACTGTGATTAATTGATTCATGTCTTTAAGATTTGTTTGCTGGAAGGTCCATACTACTGTGGTTAAAAGCACATGCTCTAGAATAAGATTGGGTTTGAATCCTGGATTCTCCTTTACTACGTATAAGAGATTGGACAAGTTATTTAACTTCACTGTGCCTCAATTTTCCCATATGTAAAATGGGGATAATAACAGTACTTACCTGATAAAATTGTTGTCAGGATTGAGATGATACATATAAACTGTTTAGAATAATCTCGTATGTAGTGAGCACTCAGTAAATGTTAACCATCATTATTATTGCTGTCACTGCTGTTGACTCTTCTAGCTGTTTTTCCAGACTGAAGAGTTTATTCCTTTAGTCTTTCTTAAAAGATCAGTTGCTTTTTCACTTTGATTATTTTAATTGCTCTCCTCTGGACCATTTCGATTTACTAATATCTCTTCTGGGGTTTCATTACCACATCTGCACAAAATATCCTAGGTTACTTGTCTGAGGTTAATATGATTATTCATTTTTAAAAACCCTTGATACCAAAAATGAAACAGAACATCTTATTTGCTTTTTTAGCACATTGGGTTGCTGTGTTTAGGAAATGAACTGAAAACTCCAGCATAATTACACTGGGTTCTGATAGTTGTGACCTAGTCTGTTCTATTTCTTGAATTCAGGCATTCCCTATATAACTGCCCTTCTCTTTCTACCCTCTCTTCTTTGGGAGAGAATTGTTGGAGTAGATCCTGAAAGAGGTAGGAAGGAGGTGATGGAATGCAGAGTACAGACTGAGACGTGTTTCTTAAGGGAGTAGGAAACACCTCTTACACTGAGGCTGGAGCCGAGGAAGAAAGGATAGACACTGATGCTATATTTAACTAAGTTGCAGGGTAAGGAAGGTGACAACAATTTTCTTGAGAGTCTTGTTTTGTTTTTGTTTTTTTCAGTTAAAAAGGAGGCAAGGTGTGCATTCCAGGTGACTTGTCTGTATAAGAATGGAAGTCACCCAGATAATGGCAGGGTTGGGGTGGGGGGAGCTGGAGGAAAAGAGGAAGCTGTGAACCATATGTCCAAGTCCTCTATGAATGTGTGGGAGTGAACAGGAAGTCATTAGATGAAGGCAAGAAGAACAGGAGATGTCATTCAAGCTTCAGTGGAGGATGGAGGTATAATGAGCTTGGAAGAAGTAAGTGGAGCCCTCTGATACAGTGTGTGAGTTCTGTGTATTTGTGTATGTGTGTGTGGGGGGACAATGGGGTGGTGAAGAAATGAGCAGCCTCCACTTGAAACAGCTTTAGAGCATGTGATGTCCAGGGTGAAATTCAGGAGAGGGAGAATCCATGCAGCAACTGAGAGTGTTGGGTAGTTTGTTTATAATGGAAGGAATTCCAGAGAGCACATGACAAGCATTGGCAGGAAGGGCAGTAGTGAGAGGAGAAACAGGGAGGTGAGAGTCAGAAGCATAAAGCAGTGTTGGTTTGAGAGGGAAGTATATTCTGGGGGAGCTGAAGGATCTTGGGGATTGGCCCACTTGGTAGGGTTATTGCCATATCAAGATTCTTCCTGGCACTCTGAGGTAAAGAGGTTGCTGGGGAGGGCATACTGTGTTGCTGGGGTCATATCAACAGAGGTAGAGTCTGAGATGTAAAGGCTTGCTGACTGTGGTCAGGCAAGCAATATGTGGCTTTGTTTTTTTCAAGCTCCAAACACTAGGACAATGAAAGATGGTTTTGTGCTGAGGCAAGAAAGATTTGAACTGGGTGATTAGGCCTGAAGAAGCA